GAGAATGAGCTGGTCATCCAGGGTAAAGGTGTCGATGATGAAGGCTTTGACATAATTGATACCTCTACCTGTCCGACATGCAAATTGGAGCCAGTTGAGCTGTGAATTGGCAAAAGAGAAGATGTGTTCTTTCATGATTTTCTCTATGGCTTTCATGACACGGGAAGTGACGACCACAGGGTGAAGTTTTTTTTCAGGGTCTTGGGTCAGTGCAGTGTCTGAGGACCTGGCCACTAATGTTGTCTGCACCAGGTGCACTATTAGCTTTGGTCCTCTTGAGGGCCCTCACCACGACGTTGGTTTGGAATCTGATTGGAGAATACCCAAGCAAGTCTCAAACCTGGTGAAGAAATGCTGGAGTGATGCATGTAATGAGGTCAAGCTGATTGGTGGTTCCTCTGGGTGTTTCTGTAGTTAAGCTTGGCGAGCTAAATGGCTCTCTTGGAATCTCTGTTGACCTCCTTTTAAAGCTCAGAGTCAGAGAAGAAGATGCTTCTTATTATTATTTATGACCCCCTTTAACTCCTTTGTTACCCAGGGTTTGTTATTAGGGAAGATGGTGACACTTTTAGAGGGGATCATGTTTTCCTCAAAGAAGGTGATGTAGGAGGAGACCCTGTCCACTTGCAGTTAATGCTAACTTTGACACGATCACATCTGTTGTGATTGAGTGATTTAGTGACAAATTCAATTAACAAAGATAATTTTCTCCTTAATAGCTATGTATCACATGAGTAGTCTAGATCCTAGACCCCTCAGCTCTCAAACTCAAGTGAAGTGCACAAGTCTTTAATTAAATCATGATTGCTGTAGGTAATCATGAGAATGTACTTAAAGGGGCCATGAAATGCTACACATACAGGTCCTGAGAGCCTGCGCTGACCAGATAGCACCAGTGTTCACGGAGATCTTCAACCTCTCCCTGGCCCAAGCGGCAGTTCCCACATGCTTCAAACAGTCCATCATTGTTCTTGTTCCTAAGAAACAACAACCCGCTTGCGACAGTGATTACTGCCCAGTAGCACTGACTCCAACAGTGATGAAGTGTTTTGAGAGACTGGTGAGAGACCACATAACTTCTTCACTTCCTGCCACCATTGACCCACTTCAGTTTGCATACCGGACTAATCGTTCCACAGACGATGGTTCACCTGGACACTGGCAATTATGTTAGGATGCTGTTCATGGACTACAGTTCACTATTCAACACAATAATTCCCTCAAAGCTTTTGACCAAGTTGTAGGATGTAGGACTCAGCTCATCACTATGCCAGTGGATCCTCAACTTCCTCACAGACAGACTACAATCAGTGAGAGTGGGAAAACATGTCTCTCCCTCCATCTCACTCAGTACCTCCATCTCACTTAAGCCCCCTGCTGTACTCACTGTACACTTATGACTGTGTAGCCACATCAGACACCACCTCCATTGTCAAGTTTGCCGACGACACTGTTGTTCTGGGCCCAATCTCTGACAACATCGAGAAGGCCTCCCTGGAGAACTGGTGTCAGGAGAACAACCTCTTCCTAAACATCAGCAAGACTAAGGAGCTGGTCATGGACTTAAGTACAAAGCAGGCGAGGAATTACAAGCCCCTGATCATCAGTGATGCACCAGTGGAGAGAGTGGACAGCTTCCAGTACCTGGGTGTCCACATCACTCAGGACCTGTCATGGTCTTGTCACATCAACACCCTGGTCAAGAAAGCCCGCCAGCGTCTCTTCTTCCTCAGAAGACTTAGGGGCTTCCATCTGCCGGTGAGGGTGCTTAAGAACTTCTACTGCTGCACCATCAAGAGCATCCTAATGGGAGACATCTGCACCTGGTTTGGGAACAACACCAAGCAGGACAGATGAGGTCTTCAAAGAGTGGTGCGCTCCACCGAACGCGTCATTCACTCTGAGCTTCTTGACCTGCTGTTGAATCATCACTAAACAGTGCAAGACCGAAGCCAGGAAGATCATGATGGACCTCTCCCATTCCAGCAATGGACTCTTCTCACTGTTGAGGTCTGGGAAGTGCTTCCGCTCCCTTAAGGCCAAAACAGAGAATGAGGAGGAGCTTCTTCCCCCAGGCTATTCGGGCCCTGAACCAGGGGTAGTCTGGACTCTTATACATCACGTCACCACATGCACACTGTTTATTTGAACACTTCTTATGATTTCTTTCTTAAATTTTCTATTTGCACATTGTACTTTCTTATCTTATAATTTACCTGTAACTCTTAGTTTAGTCTTTACTTGTTAGGTTAAATTATTTATTTATTCTTTACATCTGTTAGACTTTTTTTTTCTATTATGCAACTCTTATTAATGGTAAATGGCCTGCATTTGTATAGCGCTTTACTCAGTCCCTAAGGACCCCAAAGCGCTTTACACTACATTCAGTCATTCACCCATTCACACACACATTCACACACTGGCAATGGCAAGCTACATTGTAGCCACAGCTGCCCTGGGGTGCACTGACAGAGGCGAGGCTGCCGGACACTGGCGCCACCGGGCCCTCTGACCACCACCAGTAGTTAGTATCTTGCCCAAGGATATTTGGCATGCAGCCAGGAGGCAGCCTGGGATCGAACCACCGACCTTCTGATTAGTGGCTGACCTGCTCTGCCACCTGAGCTACAGCCACCCACTATTACCTCTTTCTCTTTAATTTTTCAAACTGTAATTTATTTTTTATTGTAAACTTCTAAAATTTAAAAATTGTAAAGTCTGTAAATTTCTTTACTGTAGTATAATGTTTGGACATTTCACAGCAATAAGCATTTTACTACATGTCGTACTGTGTATGATTGTGTGTGTGACAAATAAAATTTGAATTTGAATTTGAGATGTAACTCTGACTGTGAGGCCGGATTTAAGAAATGAGTGCTTAAAATTAAAGCTTTAAAAACATGTTTAGCACCATCTTCTGTCAGTACAGAATGTGGCGTCATTTGCTTGGTTGGTTGTGGCTAACAAACTTACATTAGTTTATGTCAGCTAACTGGTGACATAATGGATAACTCAGAGGAAAATAACGACACTTAAAATCAGTTTAATGGGATCACTTTAGTGCTGCAACAATGCAGCACTTATCCTCGGTTAAGAAACCAAGGATATACTGCCCACATTTACTGTCTGTCTCTTTAGCAGTAAGTGGCTCGTCACTGTTTGGCTAGCTGCACTCAAAGTCCAGTTGTTAGCCAAAATGTTCATGTTTGCAAGGCACTTTATAAATGAGGAATGTGTGGAGGAGAGCCTGTTTGAACTAGGTGACAGGTGGTTCATCGGACCGACAGAAACAGATTTTCCTCCTCTGGCCGAGTGCACTGAGCGGCGAAATGAGTTGATGCAATCAGTGCTATTTTATTCAATGAAATAATCTTTCTCTTCTCAAGCAAATCCAAACAGTTTACAACATAACAAACCACTAGATGCACACAACAAATATAACTATGTTTCTTACCAAAGCACAAGCGGGAACCCCATCAGGACATCTGCAGGGAAAGTAGGTCAATGTGTGCGAAGGCTCTTTTCTTTTGTTTTTTCCTCACGTCATCTCACTGACTGGATTACTTCATGTTAGAAGTGAGGAAAAGCAAATGTAAAGTAAAGGAGACTGTAACAAGATTTTTTTTTTTGTTTCCTACTGACATGCTGATGGATGTTAGGATTTCCAGTCATCGCTAGTAAGAAACTGTTATGTTTTTGGTGTGATGCGCATGGAGTAACTGTAATGTTCTTATTCATCCAACAATAAAACATCAAGAATTGCTCCTTGTGCTAGCTATTTATTTTCTTGACCTCCTGTCTTCTTCCATATTCTTATTCATTCCTGAGCACCCCCTGTGGGTAGCTTATTTAATAGTAACTATTACAAATGCATCCTTCATTTCTCCGAATTTGAAGGATGGGTCGGGTGTGTCCTTCGTGGCCCACCATATCCCAGAATTCATAGCGCGGCCCAGCCAATTACAGTTTCCAACAATGGCGGCTGCTACTAAGTTTTAATATTACTCTTATTAAACTTTCTGGGTCACAAAATAAACTTTTAGCATATTTTCAGGCGAGAAAGTAGCCGTGTAAACTTTAAATATCTCCTTAGTTTATTAAGACATCACATATTTGCAAAAGTGCTACGACGTTTTCGGAGATGTCTGTTACCCACCAGCTCGATAGCTAGCTGGGGGTTTCAATGGTCACTCGACCCGCTGAGAGCAGCGGACTCCCGGCTTCATCGTTTTCAGAATCCCGCTGTCTTTTGCTACTCAGGTTATACGTGATATACAAGTCACTCGGATAACTTGAAAATGTAATTGTTTGGCTTTTTTCGGTGTTTTATTTGTTCCGGAGTAAATCGGTTTGGCTGAGATCAAAGTTATTAGTTTAGATTAGATTAAATAAAGCTTTATTAATCCATCGGGTGGGTTCCTCCAGGATTTTTACACAGCTGAATAAACGTAAAAAAAAAACCCCTAAAAAAAAAGCCCTGATTAAACAGAAGTGTGAGACGGTCGAGAATTTACGCCAGTTTTCTGTTATATTGCATGGAGCCTCGCACTTCCGGCCTTCTCGGGAAGACCACGAAAGGCCTGGTCCTCCGAAGGATGCAGCCTACATTTTGGGACACAGCTATTATGTCCCCCTTCCCAACCAGTCAGTGTTGCATTACCCACAATTACCACAAGTATTGTCACTCTGTAAAATCTTTACATTCTTGTCTAACATTCAACATGTCACAAGTAGTGAAACAAACTACATTCTTTAGCAATTTTCTGCATGACCAAATGTCATTGCACAATCCAAAAAAAATAAATTCAGTTTATATCCCTTATATTTCCCCGACTGAACCAAACGAGTACCATACACCCCTCAATCATATTATAGCGCATTTTACAACTTAAACAGTCAATAACACATTATAACTCAGCGGATTTGAAGTAAGTGTGAACAATTACTATTCTAAATGAATTACTATCATTTATTTACTTTAATTTAGGTCAGAAGGTGGACCAAATAGAGAAACATTGAGGGGAATTAAATACAACCTTGAACTTGAAAGAAAAAAAAAACACACAAAACAAAAAACAAACACTGAACACATACCAGAGTGAGCAGTCATCTTAACAGGTATTCAAGCAGAACACTAAACACTACCAAAACCTCAAATGCAGCTTGAACTGATGCTCACAATACAGTAATTATGAAATCAAAACAGGAATTTGAAACTTTGCAGAGCAATAATCAAACATCAAGCATTAGAACAACAATCAAACCAAACACAAAATATGATGTAAAATCCTGAGTTGTCCGCAGAACTTTTTTAAGGCCCATCATAGTAATTTTGTTTTGTTGTTGTTGTCCTGGAGAAGATGTGACTGGCCAGTTGCCTATGTTAAGACTGGTTGGACCTGAGCTTGCAGAGTAATTTCTTTTTATATATATATATATATCCCACGGCTCCATGGTGAGTCTGAATAGGTTCATGATTCACGAAGCTCCATGGAGCTTCTTCAGGCTGATCCGGACGTAGGTAGCTGGAAAAAAAAGATAAAGTTACTGTTGTGTAGTTTCCATCTATACCATTGTTGTCATATTTAAACATTTTGCTTGCTTGCAAAAAAACCTCCTGATGATTGCTTTGGTTGCTAGCAGATTGCTGCAGTTGCCCATAGTTGGAATAAATGTCCACAAACACTTGTGAACTAACCACTGAGTGTTAGTGAACTTCAAAAAGTAGAGCACAAACTACTGACGGAGAATCGGTGAAACTGAGAATTTAACTCACAAATACAGAAGCAGAAACTTCTTAAATGGTCCGCACCATGATATTACGTACACTAAATATGCAGGAAATGTAATGTTCCTACAGTGAAGAGGTTTAGTCCGGTAACTGCAAGTAGCTGATGTGGCCTAACAGATCCTACAATAACACAGAGAAAACCCCCAACAACTAGATTTGCCCTTTCACCAAGCACTTGGTGACAGTGGGGAGTAAAAACACCATATCAACAAGATCCAGCCTGATCTAGACATAACCACAGTATATTTAAAAGAAACGTTTCAAGTCATTTTTTTGTACAAAGTTAAAGAGAGGTGAGGTATGGTATGTGCTTGGTCAGTTGGAGTTTCAGTAAAAATTCAGTATAAAGTGTATCTAAATCTGTTACACCGCTGAAACCTCTGCACCACCTGGCCTTCCACTAACCCTGAACATGCTTTTATCACATGGGATGCCTATCAGCCAAAATGGTTATTATGTAACACATTTGAAGCCCTCCAGGCTATAGTGAGTGTATATGACAGAGAGACAAAAACAAAGAGGCAGCACTGCTAGTCCAATCTTCTGGTTATAAAAACACAGCAACTGCCAGCACTGGCAGATCCTTGGCCCAGCTAATATTAAATCCTTAAAAAAACCCACACTATTCTATATAAGGTCATTTAATCTGACTTCCAAACATGGAAATGAAACAGTCAATCACATGGAGCATGAAATATTTAATAAAAACTGGTCTTTATTTATGGCAGATCACCTCTCACATCATTGAATGTTTTCAGATGGGTCTATTGGAGCCCAGGAGAATGTCTTGGATCAAAGAGGTCTTCATATCAAATATCTGACATCTTGATTCACTTTATTAAAGTACTGTGTGTGTAATAGAGCGATATAGCTTTCAGCACCATTTCCAAATGTATGCTAAACATCATAATGAAGAGATGCATGGTGCACCTATTTATTCTGATATTCTGAAAGATTAAATAAAAGGTCTGAAAAGGTGTAAGGGACACAGCAAAGACAAAAAAGAAGGCTAACTCCCTAGATGTTTGTCATTTTCCAAATAAGGCAATATAAAGAAATATGCTGTCTTTGTCTGCCCATTAGAAAGCTGTAATAGGAGTCATCTACAAATAGCACTGATGAAAGTGATTTGATACAACAATTAAAACGGAGTGAGCAAAAAATGTACTTCACCCAATTTTGATGTGAAAGAGCTCACTGCTTTGGACCAGTAGGTTTGACGACGTACAGGAGAGGCAAACTGAATGAGACTCAGGCAACTGTGACTTTTGAAAATGCCGGCTTTTGTATTTTACTCACCCAGAAAACAAAAGAAGGAAAATGACAAACATACAAAAACTTTACAAATAAAAGTATCTCCTTTTGGTACCAGTATTTTCCTCAGTGACAACTCTGTGGTTCAATCACAGTAATCACTTAAAAAAAAAACCTTACCTGGGTGCACCCTTCTAAATGTACAAAGTTCACGTTCAAAATGAACCACAATCTCAATTACCAAAATCCAAATGGCAACATTCATTTGCAATTTGTTAGACTTTGTTAACAAATTGCAACAACCATTGAGCTGGAAAAACTGATCCAACCGCCCACACCCACTTCCCTTCCTGTTCGTGGGATGTATAGAGTCCATAAAAAGTCCTTAAAATAAACCGTCCGTAAGTCCAGGGGGATGTGTGTGAAGAAGGGGAACAGCAAGTTCCAAGTGGCGTGATGTTTTTTTTGTTTTGTTGTTGTTGCAGCTGGCCTACCACACTCTGCTGTGCAGCACAGAACAAAGTCAATTGGTCCGTCAACGGGGTTGGCTCGCCATTGATTACAGGATTTGTTGCAATGCATCAAAAGGAAGACACAAAGGGAAACAAAAAAACCTGACCTGTCAATGACAGTGTCATAGGACATATTAAGTTCTCATATAATCACAGTTCACTATCACCTACATGTATCATTTGCAACGTTACCCATGTTACAAATTGAAAATAAACAGTAAAACACACAATAATCTGTGCATCAGCTTCAAATGCTTTTTTCCCCAATAGATTGAATAAAGCTTTCCACAAAGTGTTTGTAAACAATTTCCCAATAAACACTAGAACATTTAGCCTACAATGGACTCATGAAAAGTGCAGATAAACAATGAACAATTAAAACACTACTCACCGATCTCAAAAAAGAATGTGCTAGAGCGCGAGATGGCGCAGGAATGATGAAATGGCATCGTCTCTAATTCCCGACCTTCCTCGACCAAACAATGTAAAAGGAACCAGCTAGTTACTTGTCTTAGCAGTACACATACAATAAAACGATCTTTCATAAGCAGTGAATACTAACTCTTCCGTTTTTATAACTTTTCTTTCCCGTACCTCGTTTCAATGACTCTCCGTGTCTTTTTTCTTGCTAGCGTGGTCATGGAGGATTCGTGAGAGAGGAGGAAAAACCTGCGCTCTCTCAGACGGAGATGGCGGGCGGGGCTCTGCACCACATTTCAGCAGCTCATTGGCTTAGAGCAACTCACGTCTACTCCAGAGCAGTTAACTCTTTAACTGCTGCACCTATGGCTTATTCACTATAAACCGAGTGTAACTGCTGAGATTAATGATCTTTTTTTCATTTTGGTACATTTTATCCAAGCCACCCTTAGATATGGGTTACAGAAGCAACATTCAACAGCAACAAATATGTTGTATCTATTTAGCTTATTGATTTATTAGAATGATGATGGATCCACCCATACAAAAGGTCCCACACTTGATCTGATTTTTTCCAGAGGTTTCAATATCTAGATGTTGCTGTCTCTGATTATTATTGCATAATTTCAGTTTATTGTTTACTTGTCAAAACAAATATCAACTGATTTATAGATTAGCTTTATATGGCTGCCCTCACAGTTGATACAATTCACAATTCAAGTTTCAAAATACTAGTTACCAGTACTGTGATCATGTGAGGAAGCAAGTTTCTCAAATTATTGATCACAGTGCCCATGTCAGAACTGTAAATATACAGTTACGTAACACGGTCCACCAAAATCACCCTGAACAAACAGTGAAACATGGTAAGAGATGGTAAGGTAAAGGTGGCACAATCTGCCAGAGAGCTGAGAGAAAATACAAAAAACCCCTAAAAAAACCTTAAAATCTATTTTGAAATCTATTCAAGTGTACTTGACTGTTACAACAACCTGACAATTATATATCTCCCAGCTGATTAACAATGACCAGTCCAATTCTGCTTTTTCATTTTTTATTCATCAATAAACTACATAATCCTTCTAAAACTGTTCCAGCTGAATATCTTTCAATAAATAATGTGTTCTTTCTTGTAAAAAGTTTATAATAACATAGATAATATCCCTGCGTCTCTAAGTAATTTATCTGCCACACATTCTTAACAAATTACTGCCATAAGCACCGTATCGACGTAAATTCTAAATATCTGGAAGAAAAAGAGCAGTTAAAACATTCCATCTCTATTCTTGATCCCATCCCCACCAAATTTTTAAAAGATGTTTCTCACTGTTTTCCAAATCATTTGATAAATAATATCAGTGGCTTTCTATAGACCGGTGTTTTCTCTATTTGTCTCATATCTGCTATATCACACTTTTCAATTTAATTCAATTTTATTTATGCCAAATCAAAACAACAGCTGCCTCAAAGCACTTTATATTGGAAGGTAAAGACTCTACAATAATACAAATAAAACAGAGAAAACCCCAACAATCATATGGGGGTTTTCTCCATATGATTGTTGGGGTTTGCTGATTTGTAAGCAAACACTTACAAATCAGATGATGCATCCATTGGACGTAAAACGTACAGCTTATTGCACCAGCATGCTTCTGCTCTTCATTAGCTTACAGCTTGAAGTGTTTAAGGTATGTGCTAATGAAAAATAAGGACGCGATGATAGTTTATTAAACTTTTAATGAAATTTGCAGATTGTCTCGGTGGATAAACTCGGCCATCTGTTCTTTCTATGTAAAATATAACAGCACACTGGAGTAAATTCTCCACCATTTCACACTTCTTTTTAATCAGTTCTCTATTTGACATTTATTAAGCTGTGTAAAAACTATAACTTTAATCTCAGCCAAACAAATGTACTGAGGAACAAATAAAACACTGAAAAAACAAACAAACAATAACATTTTTAAATTATCTAAGTGACTTACATATCATGTTTAACCTGAGTAGTGAAAGACCGCAGGGGGTTTGAAAATGATGTGCCGGGAGTTCGCTGTTCTCGCCGGCTCTAGTGAGCCTTAAACCCTCTAGTTACTGGGTAAACGTCAAAAACATCTGAGCACTTTTGCAAATATATGAGGTCTTGATAAACCGAGCAGATATTTGAAGTTTAACCAGCTACATTATCGCTTGAAAATATGTTAAAAGTTTATTTTGTGACCCAGAAAGAGTAATAAGAGTAATATTAAAACTAAGTAGCTGCCGCCATTGTTGAAAACAGGAATTGGCTGGGCTGCGCTATGAATTCTGGGATATGGTGGGCCACGAAGGATACACCCGACCCATCCTTCAAATCTGGGGAAATGAAGGACACATTTGAGGAGTCTTCGAATTTGGACAGGCTTCGCCGCGTCACTGTAATGTAATTGGCCTACAAATGCAGCCTTGAAACTTATACACCCTATTAGAGCGAAGTGCTCTAATAGGGTGATATGGTACTACAAGGTCATTAAGATAAGATGGGGCCTGATTATTTAAGACCTTGTATGTGAGGAGCAGGAT